TCAAATAAGTGGAGTAATTTTAATAACAAAACAAATTATTTCTACACTGAGCTTAAAAGAGGGCTATTGAAAAAGCACTACCACTATGTCACTGTGTCTCCTATTTTAAGATTAATAATATTATCCTCCTAAAATATGAATAATTCCGATTGCAAAGTATTTGGTGATTATTTCTCTACAAATTTCAAATATTCATGTTACAGAAAAATGGTAGTAAGTGATTTTTTACTCTGTTCCTCTTGGAGTAGTGCTGGTGCACATCTGCATAGTAAAGCTGTTATTAGAAATGACATTTTTTATTTTAAAAACATCTTCCAAAATTGCCTCTTTTTTTTTTTTTTTTTTTTTTTTTTGCAGAGGGCCTGGGATCAAAAGTGAAACAAAAGCAGGGTAAATTAATCATTCATGCAGCTCTATAATCATCCTAGTCTTTCCTGCAACATAAACCTATTTTTGCAGCAGGCACAGTTCTTGGTTCCTGTGTTCAGACACCCACCACCCACAGATGCAAACCCATCGCAGGAATGTTTGAATCGCTCCACTTCTACAGGACTGGTCCAAATAAACAAGCCTAACTCCTGTCACGAGGCAGCTCTTAAATTCCTTTGCCTTATGTCTGAGAAGGGCTGGTTATGTTAAACATACCATACAGCAAGCACCATCATAGCAATCGCTGCTCACTTGCTTTACCACACCTTATCAAAGGTGCATTTGCACAAGCTCGTCTCCTACACCTCCTTCCTTCCACATGTCCTTCACCACCAGGAAAGTTCAGGCTGTGCCAGGCAGCAGCACTTGGCCCCTGATGACAGCACATCACCTCCCTTCCCTGTTCATGGAAGGGCAGTGGGGCTGAAGTCTCACTGATCCTCTCTTCTTCAAAAATAACGCATTCCCACCATGTTCCTTGAAAACATAGACCTCATGCTGGAAAACTGCGAGGAGACAGACAGGTTATTTTGGGACAGGGGGCAAGCTGCCAGTGCTACTAGCAACCCTGAAAGCCACATGCACCCCAGGCTCAGCAGCACGCCCAGGCAATCAGCAAAAGGGGAAGAAAACGAAGAGGGAAAGGCAAGCTACCACGCTGTAGTCAGACCCATGGATGACCCCTGAGATCCCTGGTTCCAAGTCACCAACATCCAGCCCAGCGAAATCGCTCTCAAAGGGTTTTTTTTTCACCCCCCTGCTGTTATGCAGACCTTTTAGTGCAGATCCTCCCCATGGGAGCATGCTGACAAGGCGGCTCCTCCTGATACATTCAGTATAATGAAAAGCACAAACTTCATGTGTTTATGACCCTTTCAGATTGAGAGGCCGCAGCTGAGTGCCCTTGCCTGGGGGTGCTTACTCCTGCAGGAGAGCTGGCCATCTGGAAGGGCAGTCTAAAGAAAGCAGAGGGAAAACCTGACATCTCGGGGAAGGAAATCTGCAGACGTGCAGAAGCTGCTACTGATGGTGGCGGAGACATGACATGTCTTGAGGCTCACGCAAGCCAACGTGGTGGAGCCCATTAGCATCAAAACCGATAGAAAACACTTTTACCAACCCAAAGAAAGTGAAATGATAAAGACAAGGTGAGAGGGATTTTCAGAAAAAAACCAAAAAATTCCAGCAATCCCAATCGCGAAAAGCCCATTAACAAATAAAAAAGGCCAAAACACCCTCCAAAACCCACAAAGGCAAAAAGACAAGACTCAGGCTGAAACCAGTACGGATTTCTATTTATGCTGAGTATTTACAAACCCCAGGCCCTAGGTGTTAAGTGGGAAACAGCCAGGATGGAAACTGAAAGCAGAAGTGCTACTCCTGAGTAACTTCCAACACAGACAAGCTGCAAATTATACACACCAAACCATGTGTCCTGTGCCCCAAAGTCACACGAGAGAAGTGCCCCTTTATCCCTTCTTGCTGCCTTCCTGCCAAGGGGCACAGCCAGGTCCCTGACAATGCTCCCTCCATCTTCATGAGTGCTCAGGTGCCAGCAAACCCTCTCTGACTGGCACTCAGCTCACACATTTTCCTTCAGCCACAGCCCTCGTTGCCCCTGCCGTGCCAACACCAAGCCAGACAAGCCAGAGCAGAGACACCGGGAACACAGGCAGACCAGGGTGATGTCCAGCCGCAGCCACCACACGTGTGAAACAAACCAGTCCTGCGTGTTCTTGAAAGACATAAGTTGCAGGGGAGGGACCTACAAACACTTCAGCTGTTCTGCTATAGAGACCCACCCGAGAGACCTCAGCCCTGCTCTTCACTCCTAACCACCCCTACAAGAGCAAATCTGTGTTAGACACCAATCCACTGCTTCTAACAAAATGACTGCACAACAGGCATTTCTGCCAGTCCCCAGGGGACAGGACCCACTTGACCTTAGACACTTGAGCAATGACCACTCGACTTGCACTTTCTCATCCTTTCTACACTATTTAAATGAGTAATTATGCTTCCTCAAACTGACTGGCTGTAACCTCTTGACTGTAATGCTGAGAGCCTTACTAACCTCAGGGAGGAACCCCTCGGTGAAACACCCAAACACATCTATGAGTGCAGTGCCTGGAGATGTGGTTACACACTGACAACCTGACTGGATAAATGAAGTCCTCAATTCAGCAACCTCCTTTATCATCGGTCACACTTGCCTTCCCCGCCTCCATCTCAAGGCATTTCCTTTGGCCACTCTCTAAACCCTCATGGGTCAAGTAATCTATGGAAAGGTTGGTTGTTTTTTACACAGTCCAAAACCTGCCAGGCTAAAGTTTGATACTATTTCACCATCAACCAGCTGGTTGAAAGGATCCTGTCCTCACCTTCCAGCCTCACAGAAGACCAAACAGCTGTTTCTATAAATGGGATCAGAGAAGTACATCTAGATTTCTGAAAGTTCTGCAAGACTCTAGAATCCCAATAAAATCACCATATGTTTGTTGTATTTATGCCCTTCTCATGAGCTCAAAATCCAGGACTGAAGCATCTCTGTACTACAATACAGGTAATAAAATAGAGACTGAGAGAAAGAGTAAATCTGCAGAAACTTATAAAACCAGTTGCTGTAGCTCAGGAAGCATCTGGTCAGACAAGTTGAGGTAACCAAGTATGTTAGCAGAGATGTCCTCTCCATTTTGCAAAGGAAAAGTTAAACCTGTCTGAGGTTAAAAAAATTAAGCTTGTCTAAGTAAACCAAATTTCCTTTAGGAAAAGCTATGAACATGCACCAGGTCAGTTAGCAGAGTGGGGTTACCCTGAAAGTGTTTTGTTTGTATTGTTACCAATATGCCATAATAAAGACCACCTGCTTAGTATGCAGAAGCCAAGAACCGATTCCCCATAAAGTTTCAATGCTACCACTGTCCTAAGAAAAGGACTTGAAATCTTAGTAATATTTCTCAACTCGGGCACAAATTGTGTGTGTGTTACATAAAACCAAGTCAGGTCCAGTTTGGTACCGTATCATCACATGTTAGTAAAAGCCACCTAGCAAGGGCTGGGACACTTGGAATAAAAGATAACTGCAGTGTTTGAAAATTCACCCTCTGCCAAGTGTTGGGAATTGTTCATTATTGAAGTAGCAACCCAATATATATTTGATGTTACTCAAATCTCACCAGACCTCCAGTAAATGAAATAAGCAACACCAGTCTACATCCTGAAGTCTGGATCTTGTTGATCTCCACACCGAAGTACCAGCTATGCTCTGCAGACTGCACGCCCACGCTAATTTCCTAACCAATGCAACCTTTCTGCACCCACTGCAGTGGGATAGCTTTTTGTAACTTGAAAATGAAGTATGAACCCCCAGCAGTCTATTTTGTTTCATTTCTGTATATACCCATGTGACCTCATTAGCTATATGCTTGTAAAAGAGGCTTTGAAATGAGCAAATTGATGTACAGATCTGCAGCATCTACCACAACTGCAACAGCAGAAACAGCTTTTAGGAACCTGCCAAAGCCAGCTAAGATGGTGATTTCCAATGAGGTGGTTGGTCATCGCTTTGCCTGACCAAAACATATACACTGGCCAAATCTACCATCACCTGGGGCAGGAAAGCCTGTGCCAGTGCTGCAGGACACATGACGCCTCTCACAGAGTTTCAGAAGACAATCAGCTAGAAGACTGGGATGCTGAGGGGTAAGGAAAGACTTCCTGAATGACCGTATACAAACCCATATTCAGCTGATTTTACCATTCAGCTGGGACTGGTAGTGCTGCCTTTTTAAGACGCAAAAACAACAACTGCATTTTCAAGATGTACGACAGCTTTATTTTATTCATGCACACTCGCACACAGCTCATCTTGGATCACAAAGTTGTAAACAACAGCTTCTGTAAAATCTATTTGTAACATTGTTGCTACCCAGTTTAATTGCTTAGCAGTGGCACTTTCATAAATTACAGAGGTCTTCAGAAAACCAAACTAAAGCCAAGCTGACCAGCACAGGAAACAGAAAGCAGTTGCATAAACAGTTATCTTGGAGTCTCTGTAGGGCTTGATGTTCAAGTGAGATACAGTACTGACAAACCTTCCTTCTAGGCAAAAAAAAAAAAATTCACAATTTTGAATTCAACTATGCCACACAATAAGAATATGACAATATATATTATTCTCTGGTTCATCAAATTTAAAATCATATCCAGAGAAAAATACTTTGGGAAAAGGTGTTCTTCCCATTTTTAAAATACCCAGGAGGAACTAATACAGTCTTTAAACTCCTTTTTATTATTTTTGTCTGTAAACTATCTTTTGGCTTTCAAAGATCCAATAAAGAAGTTAGGCTGAGAATTAGGATATTTTTATTGTCTCACCTAAGCAATGTTGCCAGTAATAAGGATTTCATAGACCAAATAAGAATTAAAATGTCCTATATGTAAAGCTGGGGTGGTTTATACTCATCCATTTGACAGTATCTTTAGAGAGATTTCTGTAACTGCTTGGATTTGATGAGTAGAAACTCACTGTTACGTAGTAATTGTATTGGTTTACTTGTCTAAAGAGGGAACATCCAGGTCAGTGATGAGAGATTTACTAGGAATAGAGAGAGGTAAAGAGGGTGCAAATTTTCCCTTACCACCAGCCTTGCAATACATACTTTTATTTACAGGATAACAGAGTGGCCATGTGGTGGCAATTTGCCCTGCAACGCCTACATAATAAAAATGACTAACTTCTTAGATGGCTTTTTTTTTTTTTTTCCCATTGCCTCCATGAAAAATTAACTAACTTGGTTTGTAAATTGACTTAGCTAAAAGAAAGTGCCTTCTGTACCTTGGATGTTTATTTCAGATTTAGAGGGTTGACTTTGTAGGGACGTACCTCAGTGCAGTATTGCAAGACTGGTTTAAACCAAAGTTAGAGCAATAAATAAATTAGGCTCTAAAGTGCTAACCTATAAGATTAGGAAACTTAATTACCACCAAAGTAAGCAGAAATAGGTATAAAATAGATTATTTCTGAAGGAATATGCCCTTTCTTCTATACCATTATTTTCAGTTTCTAAAGCAACTCAAGAAATCAGAGATACTGTCAAACTACCTGACTGTTTAGACCACAGAAGGATTACTGATTCAATTACTTTCCTTTGATGTAAACCCAAATTAAAATCGGGATAAGTACATATTACAACTCAAACTTTTTGCACAATTTTTTTTTTTTTTGAATTTTAGGTAAGCATTAACCAGTTGTTTTGCTCATTCATACCCATGTGTCCCCTCCCCTTACTGGCATACTCCACTAAAAATAAAGCAGTGTATGCTCCTGGAGAACTGTTGCTTAGCTACATTCTCAATTATCACAATGCTGGTCTTACTCGCTCAGTGTCAAGGTCAAAGCAATTGTTTCTTTACTTTAATGATGGAATTTCCTGTTTATAAAAATCTTATCTGTTTCCTACTTGGTAAAATATTGCACATTTCAGTCAATCATTGCTGGGTAGCCCTCCAGAGACACAGTGTGAAAATATAACTAAGCAGTGTTCATTTTTGCCCTTAACAGAGTGGGTTTTTTCCAACTCCACCCCAAATGTCAACTGTCTCACAGTGACACACACAGGCAAACAATTAGACTTTTCCTTCTTTGCTGAGGCCAGGCAAGTATGGCAGAAATTAAGTAGTTGTATATTTATTCTTCCTCCCATGCAATGACATGCAAAAGTAAAGTCTGCAATTTCTAATTAGCATGTCCTGTAGTCAGTATTGTGGGAAGCTAAAGAAAATAACGAATTTCCCCATCACTTTTAAACACAGAAGAACTTTTTGGTTCTTCTTTGCCTTTGAGGGCAGGTGTTTGGCTGCAAAGACTGCAGTTCTCCCCAGGCTAGTCTGGGCTGCTGAATATTTCATAGCCCCTGAGAAACGCAGCTGTAATCAACTTGCAAATAATGAAATGGGCAGCGATTATAGAGCAGAGGTAAAGTGCGCCTTCAGAAAGCATCAGTGCTTTGACTGCTGCTGCAGTCTTGCTGTACCAATTTATCAGGTTATTTGATAAAATAATAATGCTATCAACTATGAAATAAAAATGAATGTTACGCCAGAAAAAATCAGGAACTGTCTCAGGCAGCCAACATGAATAGCAAAGAGAAAAAAATTAGAAAGCATACCAAAGGAATTACATTCAAGACTGAAACTTCATTAAATTTATCAATCACATGCCAGTTACACACATCCATGTTAGGTATTATTAGAAAAGTAAATTTACAGAAGTTACTTAAAGAAGTTTTATAAATATTAAAATAAATCAGAAAAAATATTTAAGAAGCAATAAACATTTTCATCTTAATTAAAGCTTGTAGAGTAACCCATCTGCTGTCTTAATTTCTTTGTAATAGGATCTTGAAGTTTGACATTTGGAACCTTAGCTGTGTAAGGTGTCCCCTCTGTCACTGTTTGGTGCTGGTGAGCACTGAAACACAGCAAAAGACCAGCAGTGGGATTACAGCAATGGCATTTCCTGAAGATATGACATGAGCTATGATTAAGAACTTCATGTTAAAAAATGGGATGGAGCAAGTAGTAGTAATACAGGTAGTAACTGGGTGGATAGCAAGATGTACCTGTGAATTATACAGGGAGGCTCCACAGAAATTCTTCACATCACTTCAGAAAACCTGCTCAAAACATGACTGTTCCTAATCTTCTCCAGGTTTTGAAGGAACAAAGCACAGACTACTTGTACAAACATAAATTAATGTCACAGATGAGGCTCCACTAGTTATGGGGTAAAAGGGGCCAGTTCATATACAGTGATCCATATGGATGGACAGTGAGACAACTACCTGAGTATTTTCTATCAACGATATCTCTACACATCTTTATGAATTTGGATGGAGATGTGACGCAAACTGTCTACCCTGATGAGCGTTGATAAGCATGGATAAGTTGGGAAATGCATAGTCTACATTTATGAAAGGACTACCTCAAATGGCTTTCTCCTAACCTCCTCCAGAGCAAAGGGAATGGTGGCTGAGGCAAATATGGTCTCACAGACATGACTTGTTAACCTCATGGTCTGCTGTGTATCATTAGCACATTCCACTGTACAGCTGGCATCCAAACAGTAAAATAACAGAAAGAACCAAGTATTTCAGTTGTGGGAAATGAAAATTGCTACGTGCTTTGAGAAAGAACCTCTCCATGCAGGAAGTTTTCAATTTATGTCAGTCTAATTATCTTTTACATGTTTCAAAAAGTAGTTTGTAGGAACTCAAAGAATCTAAGCAGACTGTGAAAGAAATATTAATCAAATCGATAAACATATCCTCCTCCTTCAGTCCCTTTGTACTTGCTATCTTCTCTGTAAGGATACTTTGTATTTTCGTTTCTTTCCTCGACAACAACAGATACACAATATGGACAAGGTTAATACTGCCAGAGAATATCTGGGGGAAATCAGCTTTCTCTAACATCCCTAAAATCACCCATCACTCTGAAAGAAAGCTGTGTCTCAGGATGATACTGCACTGGAGTAATTCCTATGCTTTGATAATTAAAGTACTCCTCCTAGTGTTATCTTCCATCTGCCAGAGAAGAGATCACACAGATAGACCTTCCAACCAGATGGAGCCACCAAAAATTCTCTTCATCTATCAGAAAGCTCAAACATAACTAAGATGCCCTCATTCATATTCTCCTACTCTCCCTCCTGCAAATACCCAAAGATAAATTACTCAGACCAACTCCGATTTGGACTTTAAATGTCACAGGCAAATCTTATGTAGCTCATTTTTCCTTTCACTTTTCTTTCCAAGCATGAAAGAATTATTATTAACTCCCTGGGGATCATGTCTTCATTCTACTACCTCAGAAAAAGTACATGATAGACAGACCTTGAACAATATAAGGCCGGTGGAACTGCTCTCCAAGCTTATCCATTAAAAATTCAAAAATCTCCTTCAAGAGCTGTGAACTTTCTGTGGTATCACCAGCCCTTCTCCAGATATCATCATCCCCATCTGGCCCTTCTATAAAATAGTAAGACTGCGGTGATATAGGCTCCTGTAATTTGTGAGGGGTCTTTTGTTTTTCAATTTACAGATACAGAACCAGTCTTGGAGGAAGGATGATTAGGAGATATACAAATGCACATGCAGTCCTGCCATCAAGGGACTCACAAACAATTCAAACTCCTCAACTAACTCTTAAAAACCAGCAAGGCAGGCAGCAGTTCACTGCTCATGCATCACCTCCTTCTTGGACAACTGACTCTTCTGGGAGCCTTGTAAAACTTGCAGCATCATAGTAAATCTTTCCAAGACTACATATTTGCCAACATGTTGTGAAAAAGACCTTTGAAGGCATTTAAAGTCAAATTGGCATTTCCTGATGTGAAGGAGGAGGTGGTGCTGGCAGTGTGCTGCCTGCTACAGCTGTTTGACACTTTCCCCTTTCCAGATAATTTTCAACTGTTAAAAATGCAGCCTCATTCTAAATGTAATTTTGGGAATCTGCACTAAAACAATGCATATGTTTCTGAAAATGAAGCCTAAGAAAAGCACTTTTCACTACCAGAGTTAAAAGGTCTTGTCATCCTTTTTCTTTGAGAAGCTCAAATATTTCTGCTCTTTGAAGACAGAACTCCACATGACCTAGGAAAAAGCTTTATGTCAGAGAGATGCTTTTTACTGCCTTCTGAAAAGAGAAAGGCGTACTCCTGTGAGAACAGAAACAAGAGTAAGGAAATGGAAGAAAAGTAAGGAAAAATAGGGAAAACTGGATGTGGGAAGACGAGTGGTAAGAATAGGCTGGGGAGTCTGGGAGGAAAGCATGACAAAAGAGAGTGAGTCAGTCAATCTAGGCAAAACCTGAGGAGAAAAAAATGGGTGAAAAAGGACAGTGAAATCAGGAATTATTTGACTGAGAACAGAGTGAGCTGAGACCTATCCAACATGTAGCCGGTACAAGGGTAGACTGGCATTGGCTTGGCAGAGACAGGACACATAGCTAAGGAGGCAGCAGAAGAGACCTGAGAGAGAGACTGGATGGGAGACCGGCAACAATAGGGTGTCAAGTGAATGATGGGCAAGTCATGTAAGTCCTTTGGAGCAAAAAGCAAAAATATACAAATTGTGAAGATAGAAAGAGTGGCTGCAGAGTGAAACACACTTACTGGAGCTGTGTGACAAAAACATGAAAGAATAAGGCTTAGGAGAAGACAAGCAACACACAAGTAGAAAGAAACAGGTCTAAGTCAGAAGCAGAAGGTCAGAAGAGACCATCTTCTGGCAGAACTATGCAGAAAAGTCTGTTTCACTAAAGCACATTCCCCTCCAGAGCCAGGTCCATAACGGAGTGCAGGTATGCACACACAGTAAAACATTTGCTTCAGGGACAACTGGACTAGACCATATATTTTTTGCTCTATCTCCTTTCTCATCTGTGCTGGCACCAATAGCACAAAGCAACAGAGTCATAAAATGGACTATGATTACAGGATAGTTCTTTCAAAATATGGAATGGTAACATTCTGTCCCTGTTAAGGATGTGACACCAATTTACATGAGCTATGGATTTTGTTTAAACTGACTTCTTTAAACATGCCAGTGGCTCAGGGGTCTGCCATAGGTAACTTGTAGGTACACAAGCACTCCATTATGCTGTGTTCTCTTTGTGCAATTTAATAGACAGAACTGGTGTGCAGAGCCCAGGAAAAATCACAGTGAGATTTACTTCTTTATTGAAGAAGTTGCAGAAGTAATGCTGCTGATG